GTGCACCACGTGGAGGTAAGTCTATCGCACACCCCAGGCACTAATCATTAAATCTGGGACGGCTAGAAGGAATAAGATTTACGAGATTCATGCATCCACTTGAAAATTGACTTTAATTAATGAGAAGAACAACCTTATTATTGACCCCTGCTAACATGGAAAAACGTGTAATTTAGTTGGCAATACGATCCAGTCTAGTCGCCCGTTTTTCACTCGAACATGGAAACCGTGGAATCAAATAAAGAAAAACTTGGTTGTCTCCAGGCTGTCATCTTCTTTGTCCAATTAAGTCACTATTGACGACTATACGCCGCCCATGTTCATTCATTTCATTAATTGCTCTGAGCTTAAACGAAACATTTGATGTAATTTAGTGAACAATCATACCAATCACTTGGTATTCACTGGTACTTTTTCTAAAGCTGTGTCTTCCTCATTGATTTACCCCATCGCGTATGTAAATGGTTGTACAGCGAGTTAAGGTCGGTGTGACAGCTGATCTGTTTCAGTAACCACTCAATGATTTCCAATTCCACCTAGGAAAGCCCTCTACAACACCAGCTTAGGGATAGATGTGGCAACGTGGATATCGGGCGCCCTCACTTCTGCACTCGCAGGAATGCACTAGTTCATTGTAGAATATAAAGCGTATGGATAATTAAGTATAAGATTGATGATGACGTCTAATCGTCAAATCTCTCTGTCCAAGGTAGGCGCGATCTCCCAGAGAAAAGTCTCACTATTGAACGCATTGAACTATGCATTTAATCCCTCTTCTTTCCTCGAACTAAAGGCGACTCGGTCACTAGGGTGAGGTTTTAGTCATCGCAGGGTTTACGGTAGGGATCCATGCTCGAGTGTCGTGACGTGCAAAATGAGCTGCACTGCAACTACACTGAAAGTCATACTGCTGGATTGCCGGATAAATTATTCACGCTGATCAGTTGCCAGTGCTTTTATCTCTTTGTACTCTAACTCTGGCTAATCGTTGGGGTTGGAGGGGGGGGGGGGGGGGAGGCATGCATGGCATTAATACAGTCACTGTAGGGACCTGAGTCGCGGTCGGCAGCATTCGCATCGCAATAAAATCTGCTTAGAAAGGTGGCAATATTATGCAAAGGGCATTGCTTGAGAGATTGAAGCAGTTTTCTACTCGTTATGGTTGTTTTCATTCTCTCCGGATTGAATACATTGGTTATTTCGTTGGAACTATTGATGTGCATGTGGGTGAATGTTCATGGAGTAATTTTGGAAAATATTGGTCATCCTTCAAGTAAGCCATGCTCTGACGGGCTGGTTCCCAAAGATTCAATTTTTTTCCTGCACTGGGATCATTCCGGACGAAAAAAGGGGTGTTCGCAGATAACAAGGTATGCTGAATATTTCGAAATTTCAAGTTTTTGATACACTTGTAGCCCAGTGATTAGCGTGTTTCACTGGTAAATCAGAAGTCAGGGGTGCCTCCATTGGAATAGCTAAATCTTGCTAATGGAAGAAAGCTCGATTACGACACCTGTCTCTACGCAAGACGAGTGTTGGAGAACGCTTTCCCGAATGAGCTAGTGAATTATTAGCCAATAAATATGGGGTATTATTGGTTGGCATCGTGGCTCATTCAATATTCAGCGAAAATGTTGAGTTCGTGTTTTTATTACTGAAAATCGAATCGTGGGTTCCTCTGGCGACTATTCGTGTGTCCCCAACGCCTCGATATTTCCGTGTTCCATAAAGCCAGTTTTCATGATCAATTACGGGGTTGCCAAAGTTTGAAATGAGTCGCTACAACTAAGGTCTCCTAATATTGATTATATTTTCTCTAAGGTCTATGCCATTCCATCTTGTGACCATTGTTTTCTGCGTTATTTCTGTTTTTTACCTTCTCATTGGGAAAAATGTCATCGAAATTACTTTCTCTTACCATTTGATGCACATTCACCGTTAAGTTGGTTATCAGTGGTAGATTGTGCTTATTTATGGCTCCAAGTTCATCAGAATGATCCACATTAAAAGTACATCACCAGGGCCTCTCCATTTCGCTACACTTTTACGCCGTGTTTTCTCTCGCTCAAATGCCGCAATTATTATTAATCGCGCTGCACTATTGTTCATTATTTCTATGAAGATTGAACAAAATTTGTATGTACCATGTTTTGTTATCCAGCTATACCATCACAAAAATATCCAATTTCTCTTGTTTCTCATTCGTTTCCAATGCGTCTTCGGTCTCACATAAAATGTTTCTTTCTTTTTTTGAAAAATGTTTATTTCACTTCTTATAGTGGCTTTATATATGCTACATATCATACCGCGAGGATCTTGGAGCGAATTAAAAGTTAGAGCTCCTCATTTTCAAGTTAATTTTTTTTACTTAACGTTGACTATTAGGCGGATTGAATGTAGATGATATTTCAAGTCAACCAAAGGTGAGTACTCCTAGCATATTGGACTTCATCGATCTCTCCAAATGAGCAGCTGTTTCAGTTATCTCTCCTATGACTTACGCTTATATGCATAACTTCCATATATATTACAGAAATCTACTCCAGACTTTTTCTCAGTTATACTTACTTTCCATCCTCTATTTCTCTCTTTTTGTGTGTCTAGATTAGCAACCTGGTGAACATGTACTACGGAGAGTCGCAAAAACTCGCCGAAGCTGTCTTCTCTCTTGCCCATAAACTCCAGCCCTCCATTATTTTTATCGACGAAATTGGTAAGACTCCTTGGTGTTTTCTGTTCAAGCTAATGTCATGCACCCCACGTAATCAGTGTTAAAGCTGCTCAACGCACGTGGTGGTCACATCGTTTTGTGCCCTTTCAAGTTTTGCTAGAAGTCAGTAGAAGTGGAGGGGGGGGGAGGTGGACGCAAACTAGGTCGATGGCTTCATTATTAAGAAATGCAGCAGTCATGCTTCATATAGACATATTTATTTTTGGGAAGGCTCTGCATCGATTTGCATTCAGTGGAGCCTACTTTAGAATTCTTCGCCAATCGCGACCCCACACATCACGTCTATAAGTATATTACAAGGCAAAGTGGGCTCACTTTTATAAACGAGTATACGCAGACTTGAATCCCACTCCTCTCTGATAAACACAACCCTGAATGAGTTTTTGTCTCCATATCCAACTCGTATAATTAAATCGAGCATATAATTTAACCGATAGACTCCATTGTCGACAATGGCCTCACGTAGTGTACTCACAAAAGGCTAATCCCTACTACTACCCCCATTCTATTTTTACTGACTTCCTACTAATTCAAGTTTATGTTAAGTTTGCCCCACGCATCACTGAAGCAAAGCACGTTTTTTTCATTAAGGCGTTATTCTCTTTCCCTTTTTTGTCGACTTCCTACGGATTTAAATTTTTCTTCTTTTTTTAATTTAAAATGTGTTATTTAAAGCTCACCTTATCGTAGATTTCCCTCTAGATCAACGGACATAGTTGGTTATTCCACGCGTCTCGCGCCTTATAATATGGCAGACAAGTTACAAGTATCTCTTGACAAATTGTGGTATTTTACAGAGTTCCACATGATTATCGACACATCCCAGAATCTATTATAAAAATGTATGTTTTTTTTCTCCAGATGCTTAACTTGCTATCATGTCAATCTGACAGTAGCAAGGACTGTTTGTTGGGTTTGTTGATCATCAATTTTGGCTGAACTTGTGTTTGTAGGATTTATAGATAAACACGAAGGTTCCTGGGTGAATACGAAAAATCGAAGTAGAACCCGAAGCTGAAACGAAGTCATAATTATTAATTAGAACTGCTTATTCGCATGAAAGTTAAAAAATATTGTTTGAGGTTTCAGGCCGCGTTTTTGTAACATATGAGCATCAAATACTTTGGGAACTTGGGTACTTGAAGATCCGCCACAAGGCTATGCATGAGCACCTTGCTTCTTGCCTAAGTTAAACAGAGAATTCTCTTCTTTCAGACTCTTTCCTTTCAACTCGTTCATCACGTGACAACGAGGCCACTCGTATGATGAAAACCCAATTTATGGCTCTATGGGATGGTCTACTCTCTGAGACTGAGAGCCGAATTCTTGTCATTGGTGCTACGAACCGACCCTGTGATTTAGACAGTGCTATCCTTCGCCGCTTACCCTATAAAGTAAGTTAATGATTGAGACAATCGATTAGCTCTTCTACCAACTAGGATCCCTAGATAATTACTTTACTAGTCGAAAGCCGGAGATATTTGTTGGCCGTTTATTTACTTAGGCGAAGGATTCAATTTGTTATCTTGAAAGTGGGTTAAAAAGCTGATTTGTCACATAATTCTAATGGACCCAAATTACGTTGAAGCTGCAAGTTAGAAAATGTCGAAAATCAATAATATGGTCGATTTTCGTTTTTCATACATTTCTAATATATTCCATTATTGTTTCAGGTTCAAGTTCCTCTGCCAAATGCAGCGCAGCGACTGCAGATCCTCAGAATTCACTTGAAGGACGAGCCTCTTGCAACTTCGGTGAATGCCGGGTATCTTCAGGAATTTGCGAATCGAGTTGAAGGCCTTTCGGGGAGTGATTTGTTCGAAATCTGCCGAGAAGCTGCTCTGCGTGGACTGAAAGATTGGTTGAATGCTGTGGAGGCTGGTGGGGTACTTAATTTGTAAGTTTTTAATAGGCAATTAATGATAGAACTGATCCTCTCTTCCCATTGCTTTACTTGATTTGTCCTAGCTACGAATTTGTGCTAACTTCTGGTTCTTCTCGCCTGATGACTCGGGAGTTTTCCTATTCAACCATTAGATAAGTCATGGTTGTTGAAGGGTTTGGTTTAACTCCTCAATTCGCCTTTTAAACTTTTGTCAAAGACTGATAGGGTATGCGCTGGAAATTGAAGCAACCCTTCGGTCTCTGTAATTTCATTGCAAATTGGGCAAACAGGCTACTTTTGCGTTCTTTAATGTCGTTTAAAGCCATTAATCATAAACAGGTAGAAGAGGTGAAATAAGGGGAGTTAGGAGAAAGCGGAAAGATGGCTAGTCCTATTACCGAAAATATTAGACTAAAGATTGAATTGAATTATTTCACAAAACAGTTGCAGAAAGAAGAAGTTGCAGAAATTTGGAGGTGACCAAATTTATCCGATCAGGTGATGACATCATTCCCATCGCTTTAGCCGCGATATATATAGATCCATTAGTTGGCATAAGCCAGCAAGATTTCTATCTCATTGCGAAGGTAATTTCCACGTGTTTCTGGCCGTTTGGTTACTCTTGAATGCAATTAAGAGATATCAGATCTTGTGTCTCTTCTTAAGTACTTTCTCCCACTGCTTAGCAAAACCATTTTCCCCTTTATGAGTAGCGCGATTATTTAAGTCGTCTGTTTTTTTTTAAATTTGACTATTATTGAGCTGAGCCAGACCCGTTATTTAGCAAATACATGTCTGATTGCAAGGGCTGTTTATTTAGTGACAGAATAGAGATAGTGAAACACCTTCATATTAAGTCACTTTCTACCAGTGTCTAACAATGCGTCTATAGAAATGTCTCAACAATCTAACATTGGTTGATTTTATGAGGGTGAGTCAAAATGTTCTCAGACAAATTCCATAATTTAATTATTTAACAGGTGGCTTCCTTTATTTTTTTTTCTACATAGGTTCCATTGTTGTCTATACACTTTTGTAGAATTTCGGAGGCTGTCTCTGGCACCATGGAATAGCCTCCTTTTTATCTTCATCTAGATACGTAAATCGGTGCCGTTTGGGTATTCATTGAGATTTGACTCACCTTCAAACACTGGTTCTTTTCGGCACAGATTAGTTTTGTCTGAAAATGTCGAGGTTTAAAGTATCGAAATGCGTTTTTCCTCAATGTTTTGGGGGAGCCCTCTTAAACCATTTAATGGCCGCATAATTCGAGGTTTGTTGGAGGACATTTCACTTTCAAGTGGAATATAAAGGGCTTTTTCACTGCGTCTCAAGTGAATGGTAAAGGGAAGAGAACAACTGTTTTGTGCAAAGTACAACGTCTATGAAAGAGTGCCTCTAAAAGGAGCAGTTGAATTCCAGAGATTTCTCGCTTCGTGCCGTCTGTTTTCCTCTTCTTCTTCTTCTTACTTCCAACTTTGTGCAGAGGTGATAAATGAACAAAATGAATGCCAATATTTTATTATGGTGGTGTTTACCAAATCATCTGTTAATGGGGTTTAGCATAAAATCAAAAATATCAAACAATAAAGTAAAGCTTGAGAATAATGGCTAACTTCAAAAGTCTTTTTCAATTTTGTGTCCAGTTCTCTGCTTATTGATTCGTTCTAATTGCTGATCAATATCCAGGTTTATGGTCATCATGTTCAGAGTTTATTGTCCATCTGAATGGGATTTTTAGGAGTTACCATTCCGTTGTAGTACAGCCTCCTTCGTATATCCAAGGTAATAACGCGCAGTACAGGCTAGTACGATTTCACCACATCACTGCTTGTTAGATGATTTCACTCAAGATGAAGGCTAATGTGTTTTTAACTCACATCTCTGTACTCTTGTAAGCATTTTCTCATCGAAAAATAATCGAATTAGGTGGATAACAGACAAACTGAGTTGCCTAGATATTCATAAGAGGATAGCGCATGGATTATGTTGTCTTCAATGTTCGGAGCCTGCGGGGTGTGTGATAGACTTATCCCCACGTAGTGCACCCTGGGAAACGTATACTCATGCGGCAAAAAAGTCTATTAATCGGCAGTTGACTTCTGACTCAAACTACCATGACCCCACTGTATGTCATATTCGACTACTTCCACAGTACTCATCCCACCTTTTTTCCACCTTATCTACCTTCGTCTTTGATACACTCTTCTGTTCCCCCCCCCCATCTTGAATTTTTTACACTTTGATGCTCCTTCGCCTCTGTGAAGACTGAAGTCAACTAAAGGGCTAATGATAACAATCAAAACGCCTGCCATTTGATATAGTAATAATGTTCTGAGCCTGTTGGCCTATTAGTAGCTTTCAGTGGATTTCTTTTCCTGCGGACTATTTCTTTTCTATTTCACTCAGTGTTTGGTGGATGAGAGACGATGCTATTGCGGGGAAGACTGAGATGTATTTGTCGTAGGCTATATTTTCCTTAGTACATTTTAACACTTGTCTGAATACATTTTAAAGGTGTGGACATTTTCCACTAGATTGCTGTCTTTTTTCTTCACCAATGACCATAAATGCAAAGCATAAGAAAAAGCAATAAGCGACCTTTGTTTTCTC